AAAACGGGTAGTGTGGTCCGATCTACCAGTGAATTCAGGATCATTCGGTGCCCAGTCTGGTAGTTGGGTAGGCCTGGATATTGTTTCCGTTTTAACCGTATTACATGCAGCTGTCATTATCTTTCTGTGTAGGTAAAATGTTTCAAAACAGGGCCATTTGTCTTTTTAAAGAATGTCAACCTATCAAGGTGAAGTCCTTGCTGAGGTTATTAATTACAGTAGGTATTCTTAAGTTACACGTTATTTCTGTTTGCGCTTGGATCAGGCATGCGGTGTTATCAGTCTAGTCTCTTTGTCACGAATACTACATGTGTCCTTAGGCTACTTGACCTCTGATTTGCCAAACACATCAATGACTCGGCGCGCTGTAAAAAAGCCCTTACACTGTCCTCAACATACACTCTTGATCGTAAAGGTTAGTACATAAAGGGGATTCTCGCTAAATTGCAATCGACTTAAGCCGTTTAAACTGAAAGAAATTTAGCGAGAAATCCCTCGAAAATGGATCGATCATGTCAGATCAATCTAGATATGAGGACCCAGTCTTAAAAGTCCTCCAAAACTAAAACATGCAGTCTATGCGTTTATGTATAACAAGGGGCGTACGTGATTTTTGGGAGCACATATCACATTGTCCACAATGCGTTGCGGCATTCCTAATAAAGCATTGTTTACTCGCATCTTAGTGTAATATCCTGTAAACATGAGAGTTTCATAAACTTAAGCTCTTTTGACGCGTACACGAAAAAGACATAATGAAAAAATAAATATCATTCCCCGAAGTTTCCATACATGTATCTATACATGTACCGTAGGTGTGTTGATAGCAGATTGCGCCACTTGCCAAGTAGCTCGGCACGCTGTACAAAGCCCTAGCACTGCCGTCAACATGCTATCTTGATCGAAAAGGTTACTGCACTTCTGTTAAAAATATTATGGCCATTGGAAACATTTGAGCCATGACACTAACCTCATTTAACACATTTGAGATGGTTTTTGAGTACGCAATGCAAAGGAATATCAAAAACATAATAACATGGACCAACTTCCCCAAGTTCTTCATGAAAATAGGGCAGTATTCCACAAAGCGCCTGTCCCTACTGTCCCAAATCCTGGAAACTTATCTTTCAAAATGCATATTTCTTAAATGCTAAAGCTCAAACAAAAGTACCGGGGGTTAATATTGCTTTCTGAAATACATATGAACATGTCGCTGTCTGGTCATTAAGAATTAAGTAATTAAACAATAATATATAAATTCTTTTTTTTATAGTTGAAAATGAACATCAACGAAATCCATATATAAGTGACTTGAGCTACGAGCAATATTTGTTTCCGAAGGCAACTCAGTTTGGAGAGGTTTAATTCCCACTACATATAAGTAACCTTTGAAATACACTATAACGATGGTGTACGCCAAGAATTTCAGTATTTGTAAAAAAATTTGTATTTTCGAATTATGAAGATGAAGAATTGTATTTTTGCATTAGATTGCAATAATATATAAATCCTATTTTTATAGTTGAAAAATGAACATTAACGACATCCATATATATGTTTCTTGAGCTACGAGATCATAAAGTGGATATCCACACTTACGTTTTGCTGCGCTGGAATGCCTGTTTAGTGGACTCTACCTGATTGGTATCAATCAGATGGTGACTTCTTTTTATATCGTTGTTTAAGGTGACGTTGCTGTCTTATCAAGCAAATACACCCTAGTGATAAAATGAGATAAACTAGCATACAACGGTGTATTAAATAAATCAATTTTTTTTTCTTGTACACATTGTGAACATACATTTTTTATGTTTGCAGATTAGTACACGGATTACAATATAAAATAATATAGTCGTTTTACTTTTGTTTAAATGCATATTTTGAATCTTACCACAAAGAACATATTATTTTTTCTTGCGTTTATATACTGCTTTATCGGTTTCAAATACAGCCTAACACAAAATACACACACATATATACATACAACGGAAAATACAATTCATTCAACACACATCACTACATTATCAAACTCAAGCTCAAAAATGCATCAAAGCCACAACGCGCCGAACGCAGAGCGGGTGTTCTCTGTGCTCTTTCAAAACAGTAAAATGAGTTTTTGCAGCTGATTGTTCGTATCCTATTTGCAGTGTTAAACAATGCACACTTTTTACAATCAAAATCATTAAAAAGAAGAGCCGCACTTACGTTTTGCTGGACTTGAATTTCTGTTTTGTTTTAGTGGACTTTGACTTATTGGTATCAATCACAAGCTGACTTCTTTTTATATCGTTGATAAAGGTGACGTTGATGCCTTATCAAGCAAACACGCCTTAGTGCTTAAATGATATAAACTAGCAAATAACGATGTGTAAACTTTCAATCAATAGACGCATAAACATGGCAGTTTAAAATATTGAAATATTTTCAGGCCAAAAAGGATTAAGACACAAAGTACGCGGAATACGTTTTCAAACCGTTCTATGGCTACAGCAGGAGCAGCAGCAGTAGCAGTAGCAGTAGCAGTAGTAGTAGTAGCAGATCTATAGTATATGAAAAAAAAAAACGGGAATTCAATCACGTATCCAATGAAAGCAGATACGATATTAGATAAAAAATACAATGACGCTGAAGTTGAGTAACGTTTTATTGTTTTCATTTTTTTCCAATTTCCTAAATTATTAATGGTTTTATTGAAGCAAAATCAGAGCAGGACCTGCAGGCAGCATTTTCTGTTACCTTTAATAAACTGAGTCAAATTGGCATATATATATATATATATATATATATATATATATATATATATATATATATATATATATATATAGCTCGATTATTATACATGTATCAGTCATAATTTCACGGCGTTCCAGAACTTTCATAGTTTACCCGTGCTATATGTTTTATGTACTCCTCTACCAAAGAAGTGTCTCCCCTAACGCAATGCGTAAATGATACAGAAAGTCATTCTATATCAACTTCTAGGGGGATTCTATTTCACATAAGTTTACTAATTGTACCACCACTGAGTAACCAAATCACATTCAAAAAAAAAAAATTAAAAACATACTTTAGTATTTTGTATCGTCTGGATTGGAAGACTTACTTTGTGTGGAGTCAAAAAGTTCTGTAACGTATGTACCACATACTTTACATAGATAATTTGAGGTTATATTTGTTTGGAGAATTATCCATCAGTTATCCATTTCTGAGGATATCCTACACATCCTTTTTATCTAGGGGATTAAGCTGGCCACTGGGAGTAGTGGGTCTGGATCTGGTTCGCACATAACCAGCCTATACTGTTGCATTGGCTGTACGTGGAGTAGCATTGCCATGCTAAAACATAAATATCCCGCACCAAAACGAAGTAGATACTCCAGCGCAGTAGACTACTGCAATCATACTGCAAACTTGCTTCAAATCTGCTATGATGTGGGAGCTAATTAGCATATTTGAAACATGCTTCTATCATGCTGCTAATCTACTGCATTAATGCTACACCTCTGTACAACCCTATGTAATTTATGAAGTAGAATTGCAGTAGGCTATACTGCATTTCTACTGCAAATATGCTCCACACCACTACTGCGTTTATGCTTCTTTGCTACTTCGATACTACTGCATTTTCTTGCGGGATACGTGATCAGTTTTCTTTCCAGTGCTTGGATGCAAGGGTATGTATAACTGTTCCCGTTGCCCTGACCACTGTCAATTAGCCTACACCACAGTAGTCAACAAAGTCAACAAACCCCATGCCTGACTTATGTTGGGTGCTTCCTGTCGACTAGAGGCAGAACATTACAGATCCACTGATCAAATATGGCCGACTCACTTAAGATTAATTTCCTGATGGCCTCCCTGCCTCCACATGTGCCGTGTGTTTTATTTCTTATAACCATTTACAATGCTATTAATCATGCATCATTTCAGGTTTTTAATATCTGTACATACAATCTTGTTCAAAGGCGGCTAATGAAAACATACAAACAAGGGTACAAAGAAAGATTAAATGCACCATACAGATACAGATACTGGTATATAAAAGGGAAAACAAATCATTCCAGGGCAAAAAGTGCTATAAAATGGATTTTTCTACAGTAAACTATATTTGTTCGACATATTTTTACATTTGTATCTACAGTGATTTCTTCAATGTTAGATATCTATTGATCTCATAATTATATTGAATATTGATTTCACGAGTTTCTGTTTTATAAAACACAATCTATGTCATAGATAGATTAATGAAGGTATCGCTGATTTCTGTTTGTGTGCTGCCACATTCAAGTAATGATACCATATGAAGTATTGCACAAAGGGGGTGCCCGTTAATCCGTAGTATCAATAGCATCATGTGAAGTGCTCGATAGCTGGCGTGAAATGCTCGTTAGGTGGCAGTAGGGCGCACATTACATTCACATTTATCTCAGGTTGCTTTAGTTGTGGTGAGGACCGTAAGGACGGGTGTACACCGTCGGTCTCCTAATTGAATACTGAAAACAAAACAACACAATACGTATCCCAAACATCGTCATTTATACTTGGATACTATGTGGTGAAGCATAATGAAAGGTGATTTGGATACCAGACACATTATGTGACATTAAGGATCAAAATATGCTAAATGTGCGCCAGGCGGTATTGATAATAAAATACAGCTTATACACTACATTATCACGTCAAACAAGTGTTTTTCTTGTAATAAGATCAAAACAAAATATTCATCAACTTACATCTATGGTAGGGTCGATATGATCAAGCCTCACTTGGAACCCTGTGTAATGTGGGTCTATGCCGACGTAGTCCTCACCATCAGGGTCGTTGCCCTGAAATATTAGTATCACTGTTGTTAAAACACTACTCTAGTTCCACCTGAATAATACTAGTCTGGTTCGATCATAAAATACCCAAATGTTAGCAGTCCAAAAAGACTTCAGGTCGGAGCCACTAGATCAGCCCCAATGAGGCACATACTTGGCAAAAGTTAATTTTAAAGTAATTCATTGATAAAAAGTAAAGGAGTATTCTCTTCGATGGTTGTTGTTTGCACCATATCCTAGCTGAACAAGGTAGTGTTCCCAAGTTTAAAAATGTGCAATATCGAATTAATGATATGTTTTGTTCTCATATAAAGCAATGTCAATTATGAAACGTGGCACTTGGATTATGTTCAAAATAGCTATAAGACGATGCATATTCCTACAGCCAATGGTCATCTACTGCACAGTACATTCAATCTATTAACATAAAACAATAAGGTGCACATACGTTCATGTATTGCAATAGAGCCCTTAATCTTTTAATAAAACAATAAAACACACGCACGTTATGGTGGTGTACATAGCGTTTCATGTCACGTGACTCTTGGCCTGAGTCCTCAGACGATGTTGTTGATCGGTCTTCAATATCCATGTTTCTGTCTTGACCTTCTAGGTACTTGTATCTGACAATGACATTGTTATCTTACAGTGATTTTAACGAGGAAATAGGTTAATTATGACAAGATTGCATCCGCAATCATCAGATTTATTATTTGCCTACACATTTCGATACATGAATGTTAGAGTAATTTATAAACTGTAATCGTGTTACTCAAACGTTTTCTTTATGAAAAAAAAATGGTTAATAATGGGTTGCACTAAACACAGATTATACATTATACTTATTAATAGCCTGTCAATGTGACTTCAATTTAAGAAATATATGGGAGCACAGGGGACGATAACGATATTTACATGTTGGTGTAGACATTTTAGGACTAATCCATATATAATGTCACAGGCCCGCAGCCAGAGAAGATGGGGAAAGGGTACTCTCTGAATAAATTTTGCTCTAGGTGCACCAGCGTAAAAGGTCCATGTTTTCAGTAAAAGACCCACCGTTTGTAATAGACTACGGGCCTGATATCAAATACCCATTCACACTTTTAAATGCGGTTCCAACTGACTTACTTGCTTATCGTAGCTTTGTTCTTTCGCTTAAGGATGACCACCCCCACGGTCAGGGCTATGACTACCAGCAGGAAGAATCCGCCCACTCCGGCCGTGATAATAATGATACCAGCCTGAGTTAGAGTTTGGCTGGATTCTGAACAGTGTTCTCCCACATAGGTTATCACAGTGAAGAATTCCTCCTCAGAAAAGCACCTTGGTTGTTATGAAATAATAATAATAATAATAATAATAATAATAATAATAATAATAGCAGCATTTTGAGTGTATTGAGTTCTTTAGATGAAAAGTAATAATTCACACGTGAATGAAATACCTAATTTCAGTTTGTGACAGAATTCTTTACAGACTTCTGTGGATAAACATTTAATCGGAAGTCAATTCAAAAATATTTTTATACTCCATGATCACTATCAATGTGGGGTAATTTAAATTGCCATTTTGGAATGCATTCAATTTGGCGGTTTATGAATAATATAACTGATTTTGAATTCGTTAATATTACAGATGGCAATCACAACAACAAAACGCAGAACAAAAAAAAAAAAAAAAAAAAACGCCGAAAATGATTAGTTTACATAAATGATGAATACGACATCAGCTCTGTTTTTAGACTTACTGGCATTTAGGGTTAGAATTCGGGAGTGTGACTCTGCACTTTCCTTTACCACTGCAATCAATTCCAGCGGACTGACATTTGTTCACACAACTAATAGCCTTCGTGGAACTGTAAAAAACACATTCATCTTGCCACTCTGATGTTGCTTCACAAATGTCAAAACTGCTTCCCGGTAACGTGCACATACCTTTTATTTGATCTCCTGAAAAGGACATGCAAAATTTGCCATGTACATCGTGTGTGTTATTTTGAGTTTTCTGCATAAACTACAAAGATACTCTGGTAACGCAGTATGAATAACATAAGCCTTATCACTACACTCATTATATGCTTTTGCAGTGCACAAATCCAAATACATGTTTCTAAGATTGGTTTATAATATTTTAGAAAGCATGCATAGCGTGTGTAAGTACAAACCTAGATGTTTAATTTGATCCTTGCTGTAATTGCGATCTACCGTGTAATTTTTACTCCCAACAACAATGTTGATGTCAGAGTCAAGAATCGTTTCCAAATCATCCACAATTTTCGGAACCGGAACATTTGCGCTCTTATTTATCTGTAGGAAACTCTTCAATGCGTATACCAAATCAAAACCCACTATCCCGCTTCCTTTCCTGTGGCAAAAGACAAACAATATAAATATAAAGGAACAATAGATGTATTCACAACCAAGACCTTAGAGAGTTAGCCTAGTGAGACAAGGGTAGCCAAAGCATGACATGTAAGTACATGAAGGTAAAATTGATCGTTGATCTTTTCGCGCATTTGAGGCATGTACTGTAGTGCCAACCAATACATGTAGGGGTGCTTTAGGTTTACGCAGGTTAATGGCTAATTTGGTTAATATATTTACATAATTATTCATTTGCATAAGAATACAATGAAATTAAGAAGTCGGAAGTTAGTGATATGTAAACTGGACGCAGTTGTTTCTTTAACAAATTAGTACACAAGAAATAAAGTATCATATATGTATATATACCTGAAACCTTTAATTGAAACTCCTCTTAACCGACCAGTCTCGTTAAATACACTTGATAGCTAAAATTGCGAATTGCATATAGTTTATTGATGGACACGTGGTAAATTATAAAATAAGTCAATGTCTAAATAATCCAAAAACAATACTTTACAACATTGGTCAAAAAGGTTGTCCCACCCCCAGTTTCATGTGCTTTTATTTATGCATGATCACATCACAAGAGTTAATTGCTATGAATGGCGATTTTCTTTACAGATACCATAACTAACATGACTAGTGATACAGAAAATACAAACTAGCAGTTAAGATAACCATATTTAATACCATTTATTCACATTTATTACATGTACCCCCTCAAATCCGACATTCCACTGTCATTTCCACGGAGTAAAGAAATGCCAATTAAATTGAAATGATACCACCAAAAGTCACAAAATTTACACACATTTAGCAATATGGTGTGCTCGTTAAAGGTCACGTGTCTATTAGCGTGTGTGGCTACCGCTCACTGTAATCATCTCCTGTAGATGGCACCACTGCCTTCAACAAGGGTAACAATTCTGTTTTGTGGGATTTTGCCCCATGTCTCCTAAAAAGCTTGGCGGAATTGGTCTGGACTAGTTGGGGTTATGTTCTCCTCTGGATTGCACACTTCAATTCATGTCACTGGTGCTCAGTAGGTTTATTATCAGGATTCAAAGATGGTTTCTCCAGCCTCAGAACATTGGTTTTCTGCAACAAATCACTCACAACATGACAACTGTGTGCAAGTGTGGTGTCATGATGGAGCCTGGATCACCCCCGAAGTCCCCTCTTGCAGATGGAATGAGGTATAAGTTTAGAATGTTAGGTTTATTGACCCCAGAACTACCAGAACTTGGTTAACCATCACTAGGAACCAGTTGGTTTTGCTGAAGAATCAAGGTATTTCTTGTATGCCTTCGATGGTCAAATTTGGACCCGTAGACATGTTGCAGAATGCTTTTTGGAAGATTTGTGCAGGATAATATCGCCTGAGGTGTCAGGCCAGACCACGTTTGGAGAGAATTCCAAGCCCATGGTTTTGGTGCGTTGTTTTATCCGAAAAAGAACGTTATTAGGGCAATTCACTGAAACGTTCTCAACAAATATCTCACTCCATTTGCAAGAGGTGACTTCAGGGATACTCCAGGGGTCATCGCGGAAATGCACGTGCTCACAACTCTCGTCTGCTGAGTGATTTGTTGCAGAAACCCAGCGTTCAGAGGATAGAGCAACTACCTTTGAGCCACGTTATTAACCTTACTAAACATCTGTGGCATGGATTTAGGTGTGCAATGCAAAGGAAAACCAAACTCCTAATAATCTGGACCAACTCCCCCAAGCTCTTTAGGAAGAACGGGACAATATCCCATAAAACAGAATTGTTACCCTTGTTGAAGGCAGGCCGCGCCACCTACAGGAGGTAATTACAGCGCGCGGTGAACACAAACGCTATTAGACAAGGGGCCTTTAACGAGCACACCCTAAAGCTAAATGTGTGTAAATATTGTGACTTTTGATGTTGTTATTTCAATTTAATGAGCATTCCTTTACCTCTGTGAAAATCACAGTGAAATGTCGGATTTGAGGGGGTACATGTAATAAATGTGAATAAATGGTATTAAATATTGATATCTTGACCACTAGTTTGTATTTTCTGTATTACTAATCATGTTAGTTATGGTACCTGGAATGAAAATCACTATTTATAGCAATCTACACATGAGATGTGATCATTTATAAATAAAAGCACATGATACTGGAGGTGGGACAACCTTTTTGACAAATGTTGTATATATACTGAACAAAAATATAAACGCACGAAACTAAAATGGTCAGTTGAAACGGATAATCATGAAATATGCCGAAGTTGATGGTTTATTTGTGAACTGATGGAATTGTTTTGATCAAGTATAGTGCTGTGGTTTCACTTGGGAGCTCCCCGCGAGTATACTCAAAGGTTCAGTTTTTACACGCATAAGACTAATGGAGCATGGCGGAGTAGGGGTCAATCTGCAAGACCAATACTCGGACACTCTCTACCGTCTAGGCAATAAAAGGGCACACAGAAATGTGTATTTCTGCCACTTGTCAACACGCCACAGATGTCTGGAACCATGAGGGAGCATGCCATCAGCATGCTCAATGCTGGCTTGTCAGTAACAGAAGTTGCAGCATGCCTGAATGTGCTTCATTCCACTGTCAGCCATCGGGGAACACGCTTCAGAGACACTGGTAGCATTAGGAACCACCCTCATGCACCATGTCGCCCAACAAACACCTGTGAAATGTTCTGGATCAGAGTTTTCAGCCATCATGTTCCAGCTCTCGTAAATGTTCGCCAACTGCAAGAAGCACTCCAGGAAGAATGGGATAATATCCCTTAGGCCTCTATTGACAACTTAGTGATGTCCATGCGCCGCTGGTGTACTGCTCTGCACAAATTTAATGGTGTCTGTGAACTCAGGATGTTGACCCCCATGGTGTATTTGATGCCCTAACTCTTGGACTATGCATTTAAACTTCCCCTAATGCTCTCAAAGTTATGTCTATTTGTCGAGAAAAATATACTGTTATTTTTGGCTATATACTCTAGTTCCATATATGAAAATAAATCTACATATTATTACGTGCGTTTATATTTTTGTTCAGTATATATTAGATAAATTTTTGGACAGGTGTTATTTTTATTGCAATATACAATGCAACATACCAATACACAAACATTACAAACAAACAATACTCATTACGATAGAACAGTCCAAATTATGAAACAGAATTACAATAAACAATGCATATCACTCATTACAGTAGTACAGTCTAGGTCGTGAGGCACACATTACTATACTACCACCCAGTCCTTAACAGTAGCAAAGGTATGGCGCACAGAAAATCAGCACTGGTGTATCACAAGAAGCACTTTGCAGGGTACTTTAAAGTAGATTGAACCATGCAATGTAGCGGCGAGGTGGGATGGAGTGTTCGAGCATTAATATATTTCACGTAACAGTTGTTTAAAATAGCGATGACGCATATATGTTATTAAGCACTGTACTTTTGTACTTTACAATACGTATTATTCTGGAATCATTTCATTGATTACCTGCATGTAGTATTTGTAAGTTGATATATGTGTATTGCGGCTAAATAGCTGTAAATAAAACAAATACATAGCGTCTTTTTTAAATCTAAACCTCTTAGTTTAACTGATTTACCTGTTGTTTCACTTCTAATGCGTGCTTTGCAAAAGTAGAAATCTCGCCAGACAGCAATCGCAGTTCTAGCGCAATTGTCTTGTTCAGATTCTCGGCGTAAGTGACATTCACCTCTGAAAAATTGAACAATAATAACTTTCTATGCTATAAACGTTACGATTTTTTACGATATTTTGAGAAGCTTAATTATCTAAAGTCCGGATTTCGAAGGGACTTGTTTTAAAGCTACCCTTCCCTTGAAAACATTTACAGGATGCAAACATTTATGATAGCAGGCATTAACGTTGGCAGTTCACTTTCATTATGATAATTTAATGATTCCGTTTTAGTATGCCATTATTATATTTTACTTTATTTCTCGTTCTATTTTTATTTTATTTTGTTATAAATCTGGGTAAAAGCGGATCGAAATGTGAGTATATACCCGTGACTTACGCAGGGTATTAACCGTTGGTCTGGCTGGTGTCGTCTTTGGTGGATTGGTCCGAGTTAACACGTGCATTTTTGTGCAGTTGACACCATCATAATATTTCCAAGGGAAAGAAGAGAGATCAATATCACAACTGAAGAAAAGTGTGTAGACATATTAATGTAGTACATTAGTATATTAACGGAGTAAATAAGTAACGGAGTAACGGAAATATAATAAAAACTGTAAAACAGCAAATAAAGGAAAATTAATTCGATATTTTTCATATAGCGATATTATTATGATGAGCGTTAATGAGCAAAGATGAAAATTGTTCTTACTCGCATTCGGGTTCATAGCTGGGATATCTCACTATACACGACCCATGTCCACTGCAGCTCCATCCCTCACATTTGGGCTTACAGCGCACTCCCTGGTTCTCTTGAATACATGTGTAGTCCCGTGTTTGTGTTCTAAAGGCACAGATGTCCACGTCATCGTAAAGGATACATGGGTTTTGTATCTTTGCCTCTGTTAATATAATAATTTAACAATTAGTTTTTCCATAGTGTCAGTTTTATCTTTGATACTCTATAAACTATGTAGATTACTATTCTCAATTTTTTATATATATAAAAAAAAA